CAGCACCCCGGCGCCAGATGGGGGAGGGGCCGGACCCACCCGTGCCCACTCACCCTGCCAGCCCCCACCGCGGGACTCTCAGCACTGCCTCTGTGAGCCCTGAGGTCAGAGGTCAGAGGCCACAGCGGCTGAGGGCCCCGCCCTGGGCAGGAGTCCTACCTGGCCGACGGTGACCAAGGCCCCGCGGCTGGACGCCATGGTCGCACCCGAGAACAGCCTCTTCAGGCCCTCTGCCAAGGAAGGGCGAGGTCGGGCGCCGGCCAAAGCCCCCCCCGCCCCGCCCCGGCCCGCCCCGGCACTGCCGGCTCTCACCTTCCCGGGCCACGCGGAGCAGCCCGTCCAGGGCGTGTGTGTAGCTGCAGGGGACACGGGGCCGTGAGGCTCAGCCCAAGTCCTCCCACGAGGAGCCGCCCGCCGGGAGCCAGGGCACCCCAGGGGCTGTCCACACTTGGGGCCCGTCCCCGGAGGCGGGCCCTGCCTGCCTAGCCCCGGGGGGCCCAGGTGTCCCCCAGGAGGGAGAGGGCCCGCGGCACGGCCAGTGGGGCCAGGAAGGAACTGGGCTCTGGGGCCCACAGGAGGGGTGAGCTACGGCCACCAGGCCCTTCCTCAGGACAGCGCAGCCCCGCCCCAGGTCACCCCAGAGGTCACAGCTCCTGCCTCTTACTCCACCCCCCCACCCTCGGTGAGCGCCCAGGGGTCCTGGCCAGGTCTGCAGGAGGCCCCCCCCCCGGGGCCGCCGCTCACTTGCGTCGCTGCTGGAGGGGCAGCTTCATGTCATTCTGCATCCTGCAACAAGAGGGGGCGCTGGGCGGGGGTCCGCGGCCCCGCCCCCTCCGATGCCCAGGCCAGGCTCGCCCCAGACCCCCGTCCGAGGGACCCTTGCGAGCGCCCCCTGTGCGCGGCAGGAAGGCCTCAGCCCCACACCCACCTCACGTTGACCAGGTCTGCGGGGGTCCCCACGAAGCCTCCGGTCAAGCCTGGGGAGACACAAAGCCGGAGCCCAGCCGTGCGGCTTCGTGCGAGGCCCCGCCCCGCCGGCCAGGCCCCGCCCCCTGCTCACCGCTGACGCCGCCCAGCAGCACCTTCTGGTGGAAGGGGAGGGGCCCCTGGCCGGCCTTGGTCAGGCGGTCGCGCACGGTCTCGTAGATGGCGAAGCGGGTCAGGGAGTAGGTCATCTGGGGGCGGGGCGTGGCGGGCTCAGAGGGCTCGGCCGGCCCCCCCAGACCCGGGGACGCCGGCCCGCAAGACCCAAGCGGCCCACAAGCGCGGGGCTGCCCCTCCTCTGGGCGGTCTTTCCCCCACCCTGGGGTCCCCTCGTGTAGGGAATCTTGGAGAACTTGAAAGGGGCCCGGATGCCACACGTGGTGGGTGAGGACATCCGAGGCTGGGCTCTGCGACCAGGTCCCCCGGGGGGCGGGGTCCAGGCGGGAGGGGGTGTGGCCAGCGGGACCAGCCCTGGGTGGGTGCTCCCACACCCCTGTAGACCCCGGGAGACAGGGTCCAGAGGGAGTGGGCGTGGCCATGGAGGACCAGCCCTGGGTGGGCGCTCCCACACCTGTAGGACCCTGGGAAACAGGGTCCAGAGGGAGGGGGCGTGGCCATGGAGGACCAGCCCTGGGTGGGCGCTCCCACACCTGTAGGACCCTGGGAAACAGGGTCCCGAAGGAGGGGGCGTGGCCAGGGAGGACCAGCCCTGGGTGGGTGCTCCCACACCCCTGTAGACCCCGGGAGACAGGGTCCAGAGGGAGTGGGCGTGGCCATGGAGGACCAGCCCTGGGTGGGCGCTCCCACACCTGTAGGACCCTGGGAAACAGGGTCCAGAGGGAGGGGGCGTGGCCATGGAGGACCAGCCCTGGGTGGGCGCTCCCACACCTGTAGGACCCTGGGAAACAGGGTCCCGAAGGAGGGGGCGTGGCCAGGGAGGACCAGCCCTGGGTGGGCACTCCTACACCTGTAGGACCCCCGGAGGCGGGGTCCCGAGGGAGGGGCGTGGCCCGGGGGACCGAGCCCTGGGTGGGCGCTCCCACACCTGTAGGACCCCCGGAGGCGGGGGTCCAGAGGGAGGGGGCGTGGCCAGGGAGGACCAGCCCTGGGTGGGCGCCTGCACCCCTGTAGGACCCCCGGGGGCGGGGTCCTGAGGGAGGGGGCGTGGCCCGGGGGACAGAGCCCTGGGTGGGCGCCTGCACCCCTGTAGGACCCCCCGGAGGCGGGGTCCAGAGGGAGGGGGCGTGGCCCGGGGGACGGAGCCCTGGGTGGGCGCTCCCACCCCTGTAGGACCCCCGGAGGCGGGGTCCCGAGGGAGGGGCGTGGCCCGGGGGACCAGCCCTGGGTGGGGCCGCACCTGCCGGCACAGCGAGGCGCTCAGGCCGTTGTACAGAGCCAGGATGCCGTCGGTGCGCAGCACCTGCAGCGCCATGCCCGTCATGCGCAGCTTCACCTCCTGCTGGGTCTGCAGGTGCACCTGTGGGGGTGGGGACGGGGCGGGTCATGCTGCAGAGCCCTCCCAGGCCCAGGGAGGCGAGGAGGTCGCCTCCACGCCAGCCCGTTGAGGCCTTTCCCAGAATCCACTGGGAAAGTGGATTCCCTGGGAAAGCCAGGGAAACTGAGGCGGGGCAGGGCCCGGCCCGTTCACACGCCTGTTCTGCCCCACGCGAGGCCCCGCCCCAGCAGGGCAGCTGGGGGAACTGGTGTGAGTCTGTCAGCCCCCCAGGAGCCCCACCCCCGCTGGGCAGGGGTGCAAGTGGGTAGGCCAGGGCCAGACAGGAAGAGTGGGGGGCTGAGGCCCCATCCCGGCTCCCTGGCCCTAAGCTCAGTACAGCAGGGCCACCTGCCGGGAGCCTGCGGCGGGGGTGGGGGGCGCGGGGGGGGGGCGCGCATAGGGCAGCAGCCCCCGCCAGGGCGAGCCATGTGGGGAGCTTGCAGTGGTTCCCGGACAGCCGGGCCAAGGCCCTGTCCACGGCACCCAGCGGGGCCACCGGCTCTGGGCCAGAGGGCAGTGGCCGCTTCCTGACCCCGACACGCAGCAGAACACAGGGAAGGGGCGGGGCCAGAGGCAGCACCGCCCTCCCCCTCCAGTGCCTTGGACAATGAACAATGGCACCCAAGGCCAGGGCCCCAGCCCCAGTGAGGGCTGGCCTGAGCCTCCAGCCCGCAGGGCCCGCCCCTCACCGCCCAGTCCACAGGTGCCCGGGCCGGGCCCAGGCTGGCTCTGGGTGGGGCTGAGGCCTGGGCGGCTGGCCGTGACCACAGGCAGGCAGGATCCCCAGGCCAGGCTGCGTCAGAGACCAAGGCCGCCCGACCTGGCTCCGGGGACAAGGGAGCTCTGTCTCGCTCGGCTCCATCAGCAGTTGAAAAAAACAGTCCACGGAGCACGCATGCTTCTCACGCAGAGATGCGCACGCAGCGCTGGGCACGCCGGCAGGAGCTCCTGGCGCCTCCCGGCCGTGCCGCCCACCTCTCGGGCCTGGGCCACCTGCCGCGCTGGGCCACCGCGTGCGGGCAGCATCCGCCGCGCGGGGTCCGGGCCCGGGGTGAGCTGGGCGAGCCAGGTGTCTGGGTGCCGACACCCGCGCGCATTCGCGGGCCGGGCGGACCAATGCTCCCCGGCGCTGGGAAGGGGCCGCCCCGCGACGCCAGGCCCTGCCCAAGGTCACACCTGTATTCCCGTGGGGCCTGGCCATGCCGGGCCGGTCGGGAGCGGCGCCATCGCGGGCGGCCACAACTCCACGCATGGCCACCGGGAAGGAAGGGCCTCCCGGCACGACGGGGCCCGAGCAGCGCGAGCGAGTGGGCGTCGCGGCTGCGCCTCCGCAGGCGCCGGCCCCCCGCCCCCGGCCCCGGGCCTCACCTTGAGCAGGTCCAGCGGGTGCGTACAGCAGGCGGCCCCGCACGAGGCCAGCCCCCCGAAGTACCAGCGCGACACGCGCGCCTCGGCCGCCATGGCCCACGCGACCCTGGCCGGAGCCCTACTGGAGACTGGACCCCGGCCCGCAGCTACACCGCGCCCGGTTCAAAGCCCAGTCCGCGCGCCCGCGCCCCGCACAACCAATGCGCCCGCGGGCGTGGGGGGCGGGGCTGGAGACCCCGCCCCCGACGTGAGGGGCGGGACCCGACGCACCGGGCGGCCACGCCCCCTGCGCGCGCCCGGCCCCTTGGCCTTGACCTCGCTCCCGTGGCCGCCCCTGACTCGCGGGTCTCCAGCGCGGGGGACACGTGCGTGGGGCCGCAAGCCCTCGCCCAGCGCGCGCAGACACGAGGGGGCCCAGCCAGGCCCAGCGGTGCCCAGGCGTCTCCTCCAGCCGGGAGGGGGGCTCGGGACCTCTGGCGGCCTGGAAGCCGCTTGTTTCCGGACAGGAAGTGGGCACCTGCGGCCCGGGCTCCGACACTCCGTCCCCACCCGGCCTTAGGACGGCGAGAGGCAGTGGGCAGGCGGCCCGAGCCCACTCAGCAGCCTAGCACGTGCCCCACCGTGCCCCTGACCCAGCCAGGCTCTGCGGCCACGGGAGGCACTGGATGGACCATCGCACCACCCCGTGTGTTTTGCCACTCGGGTCTTGACTCCAAGTGGCCTCTGTCCCCGGAGGTCGCTGGCCGGAGTTCTGTTCTGGGGGAGTGAAGCCGCTGCGGAGGCAGCCCCTGGACTTTGTGCGGCCCACGTGACCGGCCTGTGAAGCCAGAAGGGCGACCACGCCAAGGCCAGGCTGGGGGCTCCGTGAGAGGCGTGGAGACTCACGGAATACGTGGGTTCCCCGGGACCCAGCGGCCCGGCTGCAGCACAGGGCACGGCACCTCCACAGCGATGCCCAGGCCGTTGGGCAGCATGGACCCCACCATGGGCTTGGCTGCCCGTCAAATGGAGGTCACAGAAACCCCAGGGGGCCAGGGTCAGAGCCCTGAGCCTGAAGCCGAGGGCTGGGGCGGGCGTGCTGCGTGGGAGAGGCTGGAGCCCCCCAAGGAGATGGGAAGAGTTGGATTGCACAGCAGGGCTCGCAAACAGGAAGTCACTTTCTCCAGTTTTATTTGAAGGGCAAAGGGTCGGCCTCCCGTCTGCTGGTTCACTCCCCAGACGCTCCAACAGCAAGGAAGCCAGCAGCCTGGGTGGCCGGGGTCTCCTACACTGACGCCCCCCCAACTCCCAGCTGCAGACTTGTCCCTGGTCAAGGGGCTGGTGGGCCAGGCAGGGCCAGGCTGGAGTCCAGGACCAAGCCAGAAGCCGGGCTGCAGGGCAGGGGCCCTGAGACCTCCCCCAGACCTGACCGGGAGGGCACGGCCGCCCAGGAACTGACACAGGAACCTGAGCTGCAGGGCGGCTTCCAGCAGCTGAGCCCACAGGGTCAAGGCCAAGTGGCCGAGGCCCCAGGGTGGCCGCCAGCGCATTCACAGCCTGCCTGGCCACACCCGTGTACGGTTGGTCACTTCCAGCCCGAAGCAGGTCAAGGGGACGGAGCGCCCGGGAAGGACCAGGCTGGGGTCTCCCAGCCACCGGCACTCCACAGCGTGGTCAGCAGGGGTCCAGGGTCAGGGCCACAGGGCAGGGTGCTCAGGGGACAGGCACCTGCGGTGTAGCACCTCCCCCACCCTCGGGAAGGGGACAGGAAGTGCTTGTCCAGGGTTTGCTGCTGGAGAACCAATCACCCGGGCAGAGCCGATGCGGCCCCAGGCCAGGGGCCCACAGGGGCCGGTGGCCGCGCCCCAGGCACACGGCCCCTCACTGCGTCCTCCGGCGCCCAGGCGCGGCCTGCAGGTTCCTGGGTCAGCCCCTGGCCAAGGCCAGCAGGGGAGGGGTCCCCGGGGCCAGCACCTGGCGACAAGCTTTCTCCAGGCACCCAGGCCCCGCCCACCAGGCATCACGGGTACCCTCCCCGCGTGGGTGAAGGCTGCTGCCGGCTCCAGGTCTGGACACATGAAACTCACACCCACTCTGCCCCTCACGGCCGCTCAGGCCTCACCCAGGGGTCGCTGACCCCGGACACCCCAGGGGCGGGAGGCGGCCCCCCCAGCTGCGCCAGCAAACCAGCCTGCAGGAGCCTTAACAGTGTATTTGTCTCAGCCGCCACCGGAGCCCACCGGAGCCCACGCGGCCTGGAGGCCCCTGGTGGCTGTGCCACGGCAGCCGCTGCCCTGCCCTCCCCACAGTGAGTCCGTCTGTCTGCGGCAGGCCAGGAGCCCACTCCCCAAGTCCCGTGGGGGTCTGGTGCCAGGGGCGGGCGCCCGCGAGTCCTGGGGGGCTACTCCAGCACCACGGTGCCGCCCACCGCCTCCAGGGCCGCCTTGATCTTCTCCGCCTCCGCCTTGGCCACGTTGGCCTTGACTTCCTGGGGCAGGGACTCCACCAGCTTCTTGGCCTGCGGGGGCGGAGGCAGGGACGGGCCCGGGGTCAGCAGGGACAGGGACGGGGCCCGGGGTCAGCAGGGACAGGGACGGGGCCGGGGTCAGCAGGGACAGGGCCAGGCAGTGGGGACAGCAGGGACAGGGACAGGCCAGGGGACAGCAGGGTCAGCAGGGACAGGGCCGGGCAGTGGGGTCAGCAGGGACGGGGACAGGCCTGGGATCACCAGGGACAGGGACGGGGCCGGGGACAGGGCCGGGGCCGGGCGCCCGCCCACCTGCACGAGGTTGATGCCCTGGATGTAGTTCTTGAGCTCCTTGATCAACTTCACTTTGTCCACCGGCTTGGCCTCCGTCAGCCGCACGGTGAAATGCGTCCGCTCCTTCTGCTTGGGGACGTCGTCTTCTGCCGCCTCGGGGAGCAGGAAGGGGGCGTGAGGCCGGCACTGAGGGGCCCCGCCGGGTCCCCGGCAGTCCTGTAGCCGGCCGGCACGGCTGCCCAGACACCCTCCTTCACGAGGGCCACTCCTCAGACACGGGCGTGACCCGAGAGCACCGTGTAGGCAAGTGGGTGGTGACGGGCCGGCGTCCCCCACGCAGGCCGGCTGGGACAGGGGCCGGCGTCCCCCACGCGGGCCGGCTGGGACAGGGGCTGCTCCAGCTCCCACCCAGCTCCCTGCTCAGGGCCTGGGGTGCAGCAGTGAGGCCCGGGGGCTCGGGCCGAGGCAGTTCAGGGTTCCTGGCTTAGGCCTGGCCCTGCGACCACTCGCGGAGTGACCAGACCGGAAGGTCACGTGCCTGACTCCGCCCTTCAAACCAACCTGCAGAGCCCAGGCCCCTGAGCAGGGCCGAGTCCGCCCCGGGCGGGCCTGGCTCCGCCCCCCCGTCCGCGGGGAGCGGCCGCTGCAGCCCCCAGCCCAGCCCCCAGCCCTCCCGAGTCTCCCCTCTCCCCGCGGCAGGTGCGGGGCGGGCTCACCTCCGGGGCGGCGGGGGCGGCGGCGGCGGCGGCGGGGGCGGCGCCCGCGGGCACGAGTCCCACGTCCGGGATCTTCAGCGTTTTCTGGGGACAGAGCGCGGTGCTCAGCGCAGACGCCGGGGGACCCCCTCGCGACCCCCCACGCGCGCCAGCCGCGGTGCTCGGCGCAGACGCCGGGGGCCCCCTCGTGACCCCCCACGCGCGCCAGCCGCGGTGCTCGGCGCAGACGCCGGGGGGCCCCCTCGCGACCCCCCACGCGCGCCAGCCGCGGTGCTCGGCGCAGACGCCGGGGGGCCCCCTCGCGACCCCCCACGCGCGCCAGCCGCGGTGCTCGGCGCAGACGCCGGGGGGCCCCCTCGCGACCCCCCACGCGACCGCCCACGCGCGCCAGCCGCGGTACCTTCAGCAGCTCGTTGAGGTCCGCGACCTCCAGCAGCGTGAGGCCGGCTATGTCCCGCACCAACTGCTGGATCTTCGGGGGGTACTCCTTGGGGGCGTCGTCCAGGGGGGCCCCGGCCAGGGCCTCGCCCCTCCGCGGGCCGCTGCTCCTCATCTGCCGCGCAGCACACACGCAGGGCACCTGCCGCCTGCCCCCCGCAACAGCGTCAGCCCGGGGGCACGGGGGGCGCACGTCCAGGGCTCTCAGGCCTCGAGGGGCCACCCGAAGGGCCCCCGAGCCGCTCCATACTTCTCAGCCCTAGAGACCCCCGCAGTCGCTCCCGGGGACGCAGGCCCGCCCAACCCCGCGGGGACGCCTCCGCAGCAAGCTCCCAGCGCCGACGCGTGGCCGGGGCGCCCAAGGTCACCCCGCGGCCACGCACCTCGCTTCGCGCGGCTCCCGCGGAAACGGGCTGCGGCCCGAGGGGCGAGCCGGCCTGAGCCGCTGCAGGTGGCCGCGTGCCCGCCGCCCCCTGTCCGTCCCCAACCCGGTGCGCCCGGCCCTGGCGCCACAGGGCCCTGCAGTACCTGGCGAGGCGGAGCGCGGCGCCGCGAAGCCCCAGACACGGTCCCCACAGGGGACGAGCGGCTGCCGGCAGCATCGCTCCGCGGCGGGAAGGTCACACGCGGCTCCCAGGAGGGACGCTCTAGCACCACGGCCGCGAGCACACGAGCGGGAAGGGACGCTCTAGCCGGCGAGGCGGCGGGGCATGCGAGCTGGAGCGGGACGCTCTAGGCGCCACGACCGGGAGCATACGAGCTGGGGACTGACGCTCTAGCGACGGAGCATAGGCGCTGCAGAGGGACACTCTAGGCGCCACGGACGCGAGCATACGAGCTGGAGCGGGACGCTCTAGGCGCCACGGCCGGAAGCATACGAGCTGAAGGCGGACGCTCTAGGAACCACGACCGCGAGCATACGAGCTGGAGCGGGACGCTCTAGGCGCACTTCGCGCTTGCCGCCGAGATTACCCACAAGGCAGTTCATGGCGCAGGCGCAGGCGCAGGCGCAGGCGGGTCCTTGCGGCACTGACGGAAGCGTCGGCGCCCCGCGCCTGGGCTGTGGCGGTGCCCGCCCCCTGCTGCGGCGGGGGCGCCTCTCTCCGCCGCCCCGCAGCCTGTCAGTGCGGGGATGGGGTCACCAAGAGGTGTGGGTGCGCGGGGTGCCCGGAGCCCTGGCCCGCCTCTGCCCGCGTGGCCACGCCCACTCAGGCCACATGAAGCGGCCCATTTCCCTCGGGGGACCGCAGTCCTGCGTGGCAGAGCTGGCGCGGACGCCTGCACCTGCACGCAGGGAGCGGGGGGTTGCGGGCTAAGCCGCTGGCTGGGCTGCGTGCCCGGCCCCCGCAGGGGCGCGGGAGGCTCCTGCCAGCTCCCGTGCGCCGAGGCCCACGCCTGCCCCGTGCACTGCGGGTTCCCGCCCGAAGACCCGCAACCTGGGCCCTGCGCTTCCGAAATCCACTTTCCTGTGACTGCCCCGCCCCAGACACTCCGTCGGGGACCCCGGCCCGCACGCGCCCCGCACGCACTCGCACTCGGCGCTCTCTGGAATTCCTTTATTACCGCGGTGGCGCTGCAGGGGAGGGGGCGCTGGGAAGCGGGAGTGGAGACCCTGAGCCGCCGCCCCCGGCTGTGGCGGGGCCGGGAGACGCCCGGCAGAGTCCGCGTGGCCACCTGACCCACGGGGCGGCGGGCTCTCCCTGGGGAGGGGTCTTCCCTCCCACCCGCCCTCCCCGAGGCCCGGCCCGGGGAGAGAAGCCAGAGACGACTCAGGACCTGAAGCGGGGGCGGGGCGGGGCTCGGCGTCCGCGTGCGCTGTGGCTACTCCAGGGTCAGTCGAAGGAGATGAGCTGGGCTTCGCTGCCCTGCACGGGCGGCCCCTGTGCGGGCGGCTGCGGGGCCACGGGGGGCGGCTGCGGGGAGAGCAGATGCGGCCATGCTGCCTGCCCGGCCCGTCCGCCCACGAGGCCCGCGGGAGGCTGCAGCGCGTGCTGCGGAGGGCCCGTGGGGGGCTCACCTGCTGGTACGCGGGCTGCTGCCCGGCCACGTAGGGCTGCTGGGGCGGCACAGCCGCGTCCTGGCCAGGGAGCGCGCTCATGAGGTTCTGTGGGGGAGAGGCCGGCCGCTGAGTGGCCCCCTGGCCGGACACCGGGCCCTCCCAGCGCCGGCCCCCGGCCCGCCGGCCCGGCCTCACCTGCATGCCGTACGGCTGGTAGCCCACGGACACGGACTGGCTCCCCAGGTAGCCCAGGGTGCTCGACTGTGCGGGCGGCTGGGGCATGGCCGGGAGGCTCTGCGGGGCCTGGGAGGCCACGTTCTGTGGGGAAGAGGCGTGTAAGGGCACAGCGGCTGGGCGCGCGCCCGCGGGAGCGGCCTGGCCCTCGCCCTGTACCTGGTAGCCTGGGGTGGGCGTGGGCTGGTAGGATGAGTAGGCGGGGCTGGCGGTGGGCCCGGCCTGCGCCTGGGGTGCCGCCTGGGCCCCGGTGGCGCCGGCTGGGTACATGTAGGCGCTCACCATGCTGGCATCTGGAACAAAGCAGCAGATGCGGCAGTGAGTGGCCAGTGCCCGGCACGGGGGTTCAGGCAGAGCAGCAGAAACGCTGGAGCGAGGGCCGGCCGGCGTGCGCGGCTCTGAACACGGCAGACGCCGCCCGCGCGCACAGCCTGGCTGAGCCCGCGCGCGGTCCGACAGGCCAGGGCTCTGGGGACTCTCCGCCGTGAAGTGAGGAACATTCTAGAGGGGGAGCAGGGGGCAGCGGTGCACCAGGCCTGGGGGCCGGCAGGGGCAGGGCTGGCCCCGGTGTGTGCGTGGGAGAAAACGCCATCTGGGGGATTTGGGAGGTGCTTAGACCACTCCCGTCGTGTCTTCGGATCAGGCTACAGCTCTGGGCCGTCTTGGCTGGAGACCCCCGCCCAGTGTTACCTGCCGCAGCCCCGGGCATGCTGGGGTAGGGGCCGGCAGCTGGAGCCGGCTGGCTCATGTACACGCCGTGCATGGGGGAGCCCTCCACGGAGCCTGCTGGGCTGAAGGTGCCGGGGAAGCTGGCCGGGCCGGACGGCTGGTAGAGCACGCCCCCGGCCGCAGCAGGCACAGCCTGGAGCTGGGGACAGAGGAGAGGGCTGTGAGGGCCGGTGTTCTGCCCAGGGTGGGGTGGGGTGGGCCGCGTGCCTGGGCGTAGGGCAGGGGGAGGCGGGGGTGGGGTGGGGTAGGGTGAGCAGGGTGCCTGGGCGTAGGGCAGGGGGAGGCGGGGGTGGGTGGGCCGCGTGCCTGGGCGTAGGGCAGGGGGAAGGCGGGCATCTGGGCCCGCATCTGCACTGTCTGCTTCTGCTGCTCCAGGCGCAGCTGCCGCTCCTTCTCCTGCTCCTGCAGGCGCTGGATGGCCAGCTGCCGCTGCACCTCCAGGTACTCCTGCAGGGGCGAGGCCAGGTCAGCCGCGGGGCCCGCGCCGCCCACCCCGCCCGCCCGCCGCACCTGCTTCTGCCGCCCCGCACGCCCGCCCGCCCACCGCACCTGCTTCTGCCGCCCCGCACGCCCGCCCGCCCGCCGCACCTGCTTCTGCCGCCTGCCCGCCCGCCGCACCTGCTTCTGCCGCCCCGCACGCCCGCCCGCCGCACCTGCTTCTTCTGCCGCCCCGCACGCCCGCACGCCCGCCGCACCTGCTTCTTCTGCCGCATGATCTCCAGCTTCTGCGCCAGCTGGATCTGGCGCTGGCGCTCGGCCTCCTCGGCCGCCCTGCGCAGCTTCTCCCGGTGCTCCTCCCGCAGGGCGCTCAGGGCCCCCCGCGCGTCCCGGATCTGCGCCAGCTTGTCCTGCAGCCCCTCGTAGTACACTGCGGGGCAGGCAGAGCGGCCTGAGCGCGGCGGCCCGGCGGGCACCGGCCAGGCCCAGCCCGCCGCGGCGGGGGGGGGGGGGGGGGGGACGCACGCCTGCGCTCGTCCAGCTGGTTGAGCAGCTCCAGCAGCTGGGGGTGGGTGCTGTTGATGGACTGGAACAGCGACAGCACGGCCGAGTCGTTGGTGATGCTGCGGCCCCGCATGTGGTTGCTCTTCATGCGGTTCACGAAGGTGCTGACCGCGTTCTGCAGGGCCTTGAGGAGCTGCTCGTGGCTCTGCTCCGACTCCCCGTTCTGGTACTGCTGCTGGACACGGGGCCCGTGAGCGCCGCCAGCCCCCGGCCTGCAGGACAGGGAGCCTGGCGCTCCCATCAGCTCCGCGAGCTGGCCGTGTGCGTCGGAGCTACGACCCAGGCCCAGAGCCCGGGCTGACGGAGCCGGCTGGACGGCCCTCTGCCCTGCGCCCAGGCTGGCCTCCCAGGCACAGCAAAGCCCAGACGCCGGGACGGCTGTGAACTCCTGGGGCAGGGGCGGGGCTGGGCTCCGGGCTGCTCTGCCGTGTCTGGGAGCACACGGTGTGGACAGAGCTCCGGCCCACAGCCCACCCCCGAGGTACAGGGCCCGGCAGGGCCAGAGCCCTCGCTCAGGACACACTGTGCTGTGTGTCTGGCACCCCATGCGACGGGCGGCTGGGAGGGACCCCCGCCTACCTCGCTGAAGGGGCCCCCGGAGGCCGGCACAGGCTGCGGGTCTGTCTCTGGGAGGGTCGTCTGCAAGAGACCGGGGTTGCGAGGGGCTCACTGCCCGGCCTCCTCAGACCACAAGCCTGAGCCACGCGGTGCAGGGCGGCGCCCTCACCTCCCCCACGCCGGCGGGGGCCGCGTGCCCCTCCCCGGGCTGGGCTGGCCGGCTCCGCCAGGGGCACAGGCGCGGAGGGCGTGGGGCTCCGCCGGGCCTCCTCCTGCTTCTTCTCCCAGTAGTTGCGGTTCAGGTACCGGGCAAGCTGCTCACGAAGAGCTGAGGTCACTCGTGTGGCCAGGAGGCGGCAAGGACAGCCCCCCGGCCAGGCCCCTTACCTCAGGGTCCATGTCCTCAGCCAGAGGCGCTGAGGAGTTCTGGGAAGACAAGGGCAGTCTGGGGTCACAGGTGCAGGCAGCAGGGAGCTGGCCTCAGTAGTCACTTGGGGAGGCCCCGCTGGTGTCCAGGGGCGGCGGATCCCACGGCCTGGGTGCCTGCCAGCCTGCTCAGGGGACCCACTGCCCCTCACGTGTCACACTCCTGTTGTCACAGGCACCCGGGTAGCAGCCCACAGGACCCCTGCCCAGCCCAGGCATCCCACCAGCTCTGCCCGCAGGCCCCCGCTGCAGCCCGGGCCTTCCACAGCCCCACAGAGCTCCCACTGTCAGTCTTCCACCCCACCCCACTGTCCACAAAGCAGAAGGCGCCCTGACCCCAGTCAGGGCCGGCCAGGGAGACCAGGAGGGCCTCCCAGAAAGGCCTTTAGCCATACGGACGGGAAGGTGTGGAGGACGGGGCTCACCACCTGGACCCTCAGCCTGGCCGGTGTCCTAGCGCCCACTGAGGGCCGTGGGGGCTGCAGCCCAGGCCACCCTGGCCATCTGCCCACATGGCAAGGCCACTTCGCTCAGGGGAGGCCCAGGTCAGCAGCGCTCCCACCATTCCGTGGCCTGAGGCGGGGGCACGCTCACCACGGGAGAAGAGTACAGGCTGCCAGCGGGCGGTGCCGAGGAGGCCACAGGCGTGGGCTCTGCCTTGGGGTACGCGGTGTAGCTGGACTTCTGTCTCTGCGGAACCAGGAGGTCACTGGGGAAAGGCCGGGCGCAGCACGAGGGGGAGCCCACCTCACACCGCAGCCCACCCCAAACCCAGGCGTGCCTCCCCCAGCCCCCCCTGCTGCATGG